TATCCAGCTTGCTTGTAAGCCACCTGTGCCGAGCCCTGCTGTGGATGACTCTGAGATTCAAAGCTTAGCTCGGACTGAGTTTTGATTCTGGTGCGGTAAATAAACTCAACGTTTAAATTCGAACAAAAGCAATAAAAACAGCAAAAACATAAACAGTTAATATATTAGGTTGGCTAGAAAGTTCTTGCGTAATTCAAACAAAATTCAATAACTTTTCAACGACTAAACCTAAATTCACGATCTTGTTCTCTAAAAATATTAGAAGCGCCTCTTGACCTCCTGGGCAGACGAATCCGCCCAGGACACTCAGCGAGCAGGCTGGGGACCTTAAGGGAGAAAAATTGGCCGATTTTTTTCTTATTGAAATTCTGCGTGTATGAGTATTGTCAGTGTCACAGCAAAACGGTCTTTGCAAGCAAACACTTGCTTCGAGACCAGCGAAGCCGTCTAGTCGAAGCAGCCACGAAATCCTAGTTAGTCACCAGCATCAGATTTGATTGCGGGAATGTAAGATGCTCCTTATACGTGGGTAACTGAAGGTTGTTTGACTGTCATTTCTGGCTTGTGGGCATATTAGATGTCATGTTTCATGTTCATTACCATCAAAAACGAAGTCACTGGGAAGAATCTCACAAAGAAACAACAACTATAAACATTGGCATGAAAACCATATATAGAAGAAAAACAACATTTATACAATATAACGATAAAATCTATTCAATTCATCTTGGCGATGTATCCATCGTTATCGACTTCCCAAGCCTAGAAATTTTGCTCGGTAATCCTATGGACCGAACACTCGCCAAAGAGATTTTGCGAGACGAGTCAGCTCGTTTATTCTAAATATACAACGGACTCCCACACTAAAATTCCAGGCGAAGATTGTGATAGCGAGTTTGAAAGAAAATATATATATATGTTTATTAGAGATGTTTACAGGTCAGAAACACAAAAAGGAAAGAAAAGAGTTGCTAGAAGACTTACATCATGCTGCTACATTTACAACGTAGAAAGTTTTCGAACGTACCGGAATGTGAAAATGCTAGAAGGCAACAGGAATCATGCATGCATGCGTAGAAGTCTCGCCACATAATATAGGTAATACATTCAAATGAAAGATTGCTCCCTTCATCACCCTAATAATTGATTGAGAAAAAACAACCTGAGGAGAGGAAAAGTGAAGATAGATACACATCATCGAACTAGGTCGGACTGGTGATGACTGAACGAATAAAAACACGTCTGCAGTGAAATCAGAACATCACCGAGGAAGATGGTGTAACACAATTGCAAGAAGACACATGATTAGCTGTGAAACTGTGAATTTATGTTTTGTTTGGCTTCCTCTAATTGTACAATGAACGCTCTCACTTTTTCTAGTGTGGAACGTACCGTTTCCTTACGGTTCTCTAGCACAAAGCGTCCTGTATTTCTCCAGCGGCTTTGAGCCTGCCACACGTTTTCATTTGCTCCTAGCACGCGACTCGTTATTCTTCCCGTGCTTGATCGAGCTGAATATCATAAAATCAATGGATATGAATGGTATCAATCAATGGCAAATCAATGGATGTGATGCCATTGTGTAATATTGAAGGTTGAGAGTAGAGAGGCATGGAGAGCTTTGCTGAAAGACAAGCTTAGACACATGAATCTTAAGCGCCTTTATAAGAAAAATGCTCAAATCTTCTGATATTGTACGGATGGATTTTATATCGAGAGGATTTTATTGTCTGAAAGGTATGCTCTAACGTACCTGAAGTAGCATTTGCTGCGTTTTTCGCGTCCTCGCTGATCTCTTCGACTAGCACGAAGTCGCCGACATCCAAATTTGAACGTCGAGCTTTGGCAAATACCTAAGATCATCTCGAAATGAAACTGGAGCTATCGTGGTAATGAGCAAGGCACCTGTTTGATTATATCCGTAGCTGTGCTGTGAATATTCGCCCGAAGAATAGCGTAAGGCTGATCTTCGCTGACCTTATGGATGCACACGAGAAAAGTGTCTCCCATTGAGCGTCCACGATGGTTTGTACCAGCTGCAAAATGTCTGTACATATCGGACATAAAGTATCAAGGTTGAACAGCTCATGCAACTATCTAATACATCTTCTTCCAAATTTCATATACTTTTAGAAAGCTGCAGAACACTTATTAGGTGCCATTTGGTGTCCAGCTGGCAATAAAAATCGCGCCTCTTGACATACACCCTCGGACTGGTGGGAGCACTGTACGAGATAATGCGCTGTGAGGTTTTTTTTTTCACCTTTGAGCCACCTTTGAGCCAAAGAAATTGTGAAATCAGATTGGTAATTTGATGGTCGCATACAATCTGACCCAATCTGGATTAGATCAAAACGTTTGCTATATTTGCGCGCACGCAGCGCCAGTGCTTTGCGCTGCATATGCGCGCTGTAGGAGAGAGCGAAGAGATCGGAGGGAGTAGGCAAGCAGGCCGTAGGCGTGAAGCAAACCCTAGCGACGCGGACTCCATGCCAATTTTGACTGATTGAGATTGGGGCAGACTGTAGTAAGTATAGGCATTCGTCGCACGCAGAGACCGGATGCTGCTGCGTCCGATCAAGATAGTTCGTATGTGGCAGGAACAGCAGACGGTCAGAGGATGTAGTCTGTGGAAGGTAACAGCGTCCGCAGTGGCGTCCTATCTCTGCGCACGATAAATCGCTTATATTTATGTCTGTGGAGCTCAGGTAAAAATAGCGACAAAGATGATGGAGCTATGAGAGAATCGGCTCAAAAAGAGATGTAACAACAAACCTTCGCCAAGATAGAGCGAATCCGTTAGAGAATCAGTATGCACCGCACGATTATCTCCATGCCCATGGATAGTCGCACTTTGGTCATCAGCTCTTGCACAATTAGGAGAACTAGCGCCAGTTGCTGCTCCACTCTTTATTATCGAAGTGATCCAAGCTCTTGACGACGGATCCTAAAATGCATATGTCATCACAACTTGTAGTATAAACCTAGCCAGCACCCATACAGATTGATAGCGCACATATACATGCAATGCTCAGATTGCAAACCCCTTCTTGCAAAATCATAGTCAATCATATGAAAAACCGAAAAAGACAACGGATAGCACACTAGAATCAGAAAAATGAAACAGAATCACAACAGTTGCAAAATCTCTTCCAAAGCTTCATAACCAATACATAGAGAAGGTATCCTATGTCTGAATTAAAGGTTACAGACAGTGAAGAAAATCGCAGAATAGTTGCAGAAATCAAAAGCGCATACGAAAATCCAGAGTATCATGCATGAGACTTACCAATTCGTGGTCATTGCCTTATGCTGTTTCTTGTAGATACGCCATGAGAAGTGTGCATGGGGTTTATTCAGGAGAAGTGAGATAACAAACACGAGGTATGGAAATGCAAACACATCTACTTTCAACAAAATAAAGTGTGTACCAAAGTTTCATGAAAGATGAAGACAACAAACACATGTGGAGGGAATGCAATATGAATGCAGGAAGAGGTACATACAACAACTTTCTATAAAACACCGTAAAATAATAAGTGCAATGCCCGAATCAGAAGTTGTAAAGCAGCAAGCAAATTCTATTCATCTTTGACGTATGCTGAGCAAGTGCTTTACACACGTTCATCAATTTTATTTATATTTACATACAAAATACCTTGGATAACCGTGAACTTCTGCATTTGTCCCTGATACTGGTAGACAAGCTTACTGAATCCTTCACTCTTGAACTGCCGCAACCTGTCTCTCTGGTAGTGGCGTCCTCTCGAGCGGCTCGAATCCCGTGCGACCGCCTACTTGGGCTCTGCACCGCGTTTGCGAACTTGTCATCTGATCGCCTAGGCTCAAAGTTGAGCTTAATCTCTGGATGTGCGTGGCAAACTGTCACAGACACGTTTGCGAACGTAGTGCAGCGCCTAAGCGAGGCGGTCGCGCGAGATTCGAGTCGCCTTGAGACGATACCACTGCTAGAGAAGGGGGTATGGGTGTTGGTTAAATGGCGCGCCGTTTGCAGGATAGCCTTCACGGTTTCACACTGTACTTTGAATGAATGTCTTGAAAAATGGCCCCCACCTAAGCGGGAGTCAACGAACGACTTGGTGGTAACGGTGTAACGCTATGTTCGGGTATAGGAGGCTCAGATTGGGAGTACGCTAGTTTTTTGAGTTTATAACGACGCGAAGACTTTTTCCTTCTAAAACGATCGTCTGCACTCACACTGCCTTTCTTGCGCAGAACGAATCGACGAGTAGAGCCGTTCCAGCATGCAACAGCATCCATTATTTGTTCATTTGAAGGAAGCACCTAAGACAAGAATAGGTTTTTCAAGGCTTTAGATCTGTGAATAACTTACCCTTTGTTCGACGGGCTCCTCTCCAGATGCGGACTGTGAAGATTCTTCGATCAGAGCATACTCATCTACTTGATCGACGTTCTTTCCAGCGTTCAGTAGCACCTTAAAAGTGTTTAGCATTCTATCGGGCAAGAGATGCTTATGTGGAAGCCGTTAAAGTAAGTGAGGCACCAAGAAACATGTAAAATTAAACAAGTACCAATCTTCGTACAAAAAATCCTGGACAGTGCCACCTTAAAAAAACAATCACCTGCTGGATGATAGTCTTCGCGGTGCTGTCACTTTCACACTGTACAGTTATTGGTGTCTCCTCGGCGAAGACGCCTGTCACTTTCAAAACGAAGATCTGTTTCTTCACAATCGGAAGAGGAGGAGTTTCTGGTGCCTGAATATGACTCTATATACATATATATTTCAACTACCCAATAATGAAACCATCCATAGAGTTCCCAATCATGCCCAGAATTAGCACTGAAACCTCACGTTTTTTGCCTCCGCAGAAGTTCAATACCGGTTTAGTCTTCTCTTTCATATACTCTTTTTGTGATTCACTGACACCCTGAATATGCTCTTCCAACAGGCTAACTTCTGTACAGGTTCAGATGCACTCATATAAAAAGTCTCTGGCAGGTAGAGAAACGTTCGGAAGCGGTCAATTAGCATTCTACTTTTTGAATAGCTGGTAGCAAAACAGCATTGTCCTCTTCCTTTTCACGTACCATTAAGAATACAAAAGACACTAGATATAACAAGATAAAGTAATATGAATAACTATTGACCAGTATGAATAACTAGGACTGAACCAGCTTACCAGCTCAGTTCTGTAAGAAAGTACATGCTCAATGTTACAGTACGACGCCGAATCATCATCGTACAGGTAGATGTGTTCCTCTTGCTCGAAGCGAGTTCTGTAATTAAGCTTACTGGAGAAGCAACTTTTGAAATTTTTTCTGAATGGTGAGTATAACACTACCGCTACAGTATTAGTATAAGATAACAAAGGGAGAAAATTGATAATCTATAGTGGATTTCCGTGTTTATAGAGCTCTAAAGCACAACAGCGCCAATTCAGATCGTGCGCTCATACTTCGTGCGTACAAACGGCGAGACGTAGGGACCGCACGGACTCACCGTAGATTGCGGAACACGCGCGGCACGGCTGGAATGTCACGAAAGCACTTGTGCAGATACACGCGTTTGGCCACGCGGCGCGTACTCCGCAATCTGCGGCCGATCCATGGGGTCAGCAAATCGACGGTAGGTATTCAGAATAAAGCGCTTACCTGAGAAAAATGGTAGCATTGTCTAGAGGTTGATTTGACGCACTCCTTAGGGGAAGGTGACGAAATCCTGGTCGAATACATCTGATCGGAACCACCCGGTGCGCAACAACACGCCCGTTCTGACTGCTAGGAGAGAACATTATTTCATCCCGTAAACTACTTACACTGATCTCACCTATCACAGACAGCAATTCGTAGAAAAGCGAGGTCGACAAAGACGACACGCAATTGCGTAGAATGGTTCCATATCGGATTTACGGAATTTCTTTGTACAATTTTGGTTTTTTCCTAAAACAAAAATTTTAATGATTTCCTAATACTATTAGAAGCTCACTTTGAAGCAGTCAGTTGGTATTCCAATAACTTCAATCTCAAGATAGACGCTTGCTGAGTGACATCCAGGATATACATACTGACCCGAGATAACCTGAAATGTGAATTTTTCTTGAATTAAACAAGTTTTTGTATTTCAGCTACAACTCCAGCTACTTTTCTAACTGAAGAAAATCGATTCAATTAGGCTATATAACATCGTAACAAATTTATATATAAGTGTCACAAGTGACTCGCCACTTGACAAACACATTTACCTTCAGCGAACTTATACAATAAGAACTTCTGTAGTCAAATTGGTGCCAGCGCTGTGCTAGCGTCCTGCCAGCGATTTGTATAGAACGACGGCGTTGGCATGTGCTAGCTCAGCGCTGGCTCAGAAAATTGGGGCGTAGTGATATCGCGAAAACAAGTAAATGATAAGATAACTTTTAAACTTCAATTTATTTAGTTGCTTGAACGTTCTAATAAGATGCCTTTGGAACTTGTTAAGTATTATGCTAACAGAATATGAAAACCAACCGTTAAGTTCACAATCAAAGCGGAGACATTCGCAACTTCTTTGGAGAGAGGGCTAAATTTATTGTAGAGCGGGTGTGTGTTATCCCACAAAGCACGTGGCTTTAATTGGAAACTGAAAAAAGATATGAGTAACGAGAAAATCACATGAAATTTATTACAAACCCGCTACTTCCGCTCTGCTCAAACATTGCTTGATTCACAGCCATTATAACATCGGGTGTTTGGAAATTCAAAGCTACCATCTAGAATACCAGCACGGTATAATTAGAATGTCCGTTCATCGCGGAGAATGCCTTACCTGTAAACCATGAGCCCAGCAGTTGATTGGATTAAAGTTGGAGGAGTCGTAATGCTTTGCAGACGGATATGTTCGAATTAGCTGCAATACGTCGGTGATAGCAATGCTGTTTCGCACAAGGGAAGAAGTATAGGCGATCCATCACATGCTGAGACAGGATGCCATTGCGGACGCTGCGTCTCTCTGATCAAAGACACTCAGTTCCTACCGTTTGCAGTCTCTTACACAGAACAGATTTGGCAGTCGCAACTTTCAACTACAGTAACCTGCCCCCATCTCCAGGGTATTCGTGCCAGGACCACGTGTTCTGGGCACGTCCCCTCTGATAAACGCTGCTTCAGCACTACTTCACCACTTTCTATCAACTCAAACGTGCTGAGTAGGACCTCCGCGTCCGTTACGAATTACAGGAGGCTGGTATGACCCAGTACAATGCTGAGAATGCGTCTGATTTCGCTCTAAATCTCTTCTTAAACTTATCCCTAGACTAAATGTTTCTTGGAGTTTTTCCAACAGACCTTGCTTTATTGCTCAGGTAGAAGCCAGTGACCTTCATCATTAGGAGTGTTCGTTACTTATTGTTCGATGTCTTGTTTATAGAATAGATGTGAAAGACAACATAGTGGGCTTGCTTTTACTAGTTTGCTCTAAATTCACAAAACTATTGAAATCTGCAATTATTAGTTTGACTCCATTCTGGTTGTGATGGTCATGGAAGTCAAAACGGGCTTTTTTGTTCAGATAATTCATAGTGAGTCATGTAGAGCGCTTATATGTGAAAGTTAGGGGTGAGGAAGCAGCTTTCGGAATCAGCGATGTGTCAGTTGCACTACTTGTAGAAACTATCACTACTTTAAGATTCACAGTTTCATTTCCGTAGCCCCGGCCGAGAAAAATGACAATCTGAGAAACGTCCATCAAACGGTTGTGTCTTATAAAGCGCTTGGTTGAGAAACATGACCGCTACAGGTAGATACAAGTAGGTTATATTCTAATGGGCAAACGCTTACATGAGGACTTTACAATTAGTTCTCCACAGCTCACAATAGGACTGAGAGCGCTAAGCATTCGGCATGCTACCTAACGTTCTGCAAGATGTACCGACAAGGAGAGGGCTTCGATTTCCGATACCGCGATCAGGCAGCCATGTTTTCTATTTAGAGCTATGAGAGTTCAAATTTAACAAGTCCATAAATGCTAACCAGCTACCGAGATTTGCAGTTGAGTTTATGGTTATCAATCGAAAACTGACCGGGATTCCACCAAACAGTTGCAACAAGTTGTCAGATGCAATCATTCCCATTTTCGACTCTCTTGCATATTCAAGTAAAGGTCGGCTCAATACGTTCGTTCTGTTTTGGAATTCTCGAACATGGAACTCATAGTTTTAATGGAATGTCGCGTCCAAATTAAGAAAAATACTAGGACACTACTATTGACCACTTCAGATGGGAACAGAAACAGTCGAAATCGATATAAACATAGTCAATCTTCTTTGACGTCTCTACATGCAAAAATGCAAGAATTCGAAGACGAAGAGCTACTTAGAGGTATTGGGGAACCCGTCGAAGTTAGCCAAACAGCTAACACGTAAAATTCAACCATTGAGAATCCACCATCAATGCTTTACTTTTGGCAGGCAACAGTACTCTGCGTTGATACCACTGCTTTTGACAGCGCATCTTCATATTCGCTGAAACCAGATGGTCCCCGCACGAATACCCTGTAAATGGCGCGTGGATACTGTAGTTGAAAGTTGCAACGTCTGCCAAATCTGTTCTGTGTCTCTTACGAACCCGAACTATCTTGATCGGCCGCAACGATGTCCAGTCTTTGCGTAAGATGACTCGCTTATAGCATAAAGAAAAGAAAGCGCAACTAACGTGGTCTCTCGTGTATGAAATGCATTTGAGCGGATGTCTTTTCAATAACTTCTTCGCGGCATTCTCATTCAGCGAAGTGACTTGATAGCAATTAGCTGAGACATTCGGACGAGCACCAACAAACAGTGTCGACTCCGTTATTGAAGTGTCCTGCAACGACTGCACCGGAGTGTTGAAGGCTCTCTACGGAGCTCTTCTAGGCACATACCTGACTGACTTGCGTAGCACTACGTTGTCTTCTGGGAGGTGTTGGCGTGCTCAGCAGACTTGTTTGCGTGCGAGTTCGTGCAGACCACAACGAATTGGCAGTACCTATCTCTTCTTCCGCAGAGTGAGTGGATGTCGTTATTTCAACGGTTGGGAAACCCTGCAAGAAATATGATTTAGGCTGGTCTTGAAGCGCTTGATGGCTACCTTGAATTTCACAGCCTGCATGTAAACTACGATATCGGACAGCTCCTGTGCAATTTGCAATCCGGTATTCACTTTCCTTGCACCTGACCTTAGCCCAGGACTGGCAGCAATCGGTGAGCTACCGATATCGTCTTCATCGGTTTTTGTGTCGTAGAGCTGCAATAGTTCAGTTAGCCTGTGTAGAGCTGCGAATTCGAAACACAAAAGTCACGCGAAATAGATTTCCCGCCAAAACGTTGCTGTTACTTGTCGTTCAAGCTTTCCGAGGCTACGTTATGAGTTGCGCGCGTGCCAGCGCTACGTCCTAGCGTCCCGTGATCGATTGACGGTGCTGCCACGGGCCAGCACGACGCTGGTACAAGCAACTATGGAAGCAGCGTAACTTAGACTGAGTAGGGACGCGTAGCAACCCAGCACTCTATTTACGCGCCGAATATCGACATAACCCCAAACTTTGAACGCTACTTACCCCGCTGAATGAACTGGCAGGTTTCTTGCTTGTTTGGTCGTTCGGCTCATTAGTGAGCGAATCAGGCTTAGCACCTGAGGATTTTGTTGATCCTTTACTGACTTGCGGACTCTCTGCAGCACGGTCACATCGTATCGCTGAAATCAGTGAATCTACAAAAATGTGTATTTGAAGCTACTGTTCTTTTTTTGTAAAAAGCACGTTTTAGAGACTAGTTGAAAGGTTTTAGAAGCTCGGAAAATGCTTTCAAATTATACTAAAAGCTCAAATAATCTTATATATAAAGCTGAATGTCTGTTTGTATGTATGTATGTATGTATGTCTGTATGTATGTATGTAAGTGTGTACGTATGTTCCGAATAGAAAATTCCATTTCTGAACCGATCCGGACCAAACTTGGCACACATACACTACGGGCCCCGGCGGGTGTCATAGGCTACTTTTCGTCATCGATCGATATCGATTTTATCGATTTTTATCGATTTTTTTGCTGAGTTCACCTACGGGGCTGGGAGTTGGCACAGGGGGGTAATCGAGCATGGGGATTCCGAATACAATATTGGTTTTCAGGATTATCGATTACTTTTATCGATTTTATCGATTTTTTTGCAAAGTTTGAGCTACGGGGCTGGGAGTTGGCACAGGGGGGTAATCGAGCATGGGGATTCCGAATACAATATTGGTTTTCAGGATTATCGATTACTTTTATCGATTTTATCGATTTTTTTGCAAAGTTTGAGCTACGGGGCTGGGAGTTCGCACAGGGGGGTAATCGAGCATGGGGATTCCGAACACAATATTGGTTTTCGGGATTATCGATTACTTTTACCGATTTTATCGATTTTTTGCAAAGTTGGAGCTAGGGGGCTGGGAGTTGGCACAGGGGGGGTATTCGAGCATGCTGATCATCCCCAAGGGGGGTGATCAGCATGCTCGATTACACCCCTGTGCCAAATTCCAGCCCCCTAGCTCAAATTCTCAAAAAATCGATAAAATCGATAAAAGTAATGGAGGATCTTGAAAACTAATATTGTATTCGTAATCTGCATGCTCGATTACCCCCTGTGCAAACTCCCAGTCCCGCAGGTCAAACTTTACAAAAAAATCGATAAAATCGATAAAAGTAATGGACGATCCTGAAAACTAATATTGTGTTCGTAATCAGCATGCTCGATTACCCCCCTGTGCAAAATCTCAGCCTCGCATGTCAAAATTTACAAAAAATCGAGAAAATCAATAAAAGTAACCGATAATTCTGAAAACTAATATTGTATTCAGAATTCCCATGCTCACTTCCCCCCTGTGCCAACTCCTAGCCCTGTAGGTGAACTCTGCGAAAAAATCGATAAAAATCGGTAAAATCGACATCGATCGATAACGAAAAGTGGACTGTGACACCCGCCGGGGCCCGAAGTGTATGTGTGCCAAGTTTGGTCCGGATACGGCGGAGCCGGGTAAGCCAGCTAGTTAAATAAATAAAATGCATAATTATAAGAGAATATTAAGATAATATGTATATATTTGTAAGTATAAAAACGGAAAATATATACAGTCAATTGTTTTCCTTCTTATTGATATCAGCGCTCACGCAATTCTACTTTTGAGCTTGTTAAAATTAGATTTGCAAAAAAAAGGAAAAATCGTGCTACGGCAGTGCTATATATGCCCTCCTTCTTTTGAGGAATGTTACTTCTCACAGTCCACTTATAATTCATTTCCTTTTTCAACCTCTCCTGCTAATTTTTTTGACTTCGCACCCAACTTTTCAGACCGGAGTAGAATAACTTTTCATTACGCTAGGTTAACATAAGCACTTTTTGTTTTTGATTTCTGATGGGTTCTCACTAAGACCCTCGTGTCCAAAATTCTTAATATACCAATAAAGATCTTGTTAACCGCCTTACGTACAAAAATTGCCTACCTTCGATTTCGTCTTCTTCATTCTCTTCATCATCAAGGAATTCATCCAAGTCATCATCCTCCATATCGTCTACAGTACTGTAATTGCAAGTTACAGCAAGTGCTACAACTGCTTAAAAACTGAAAAAATCTAACCTGCTCTCATAACTGTTTTTGCTTTGCTTGCGATGAAGGCTGAGCTGTGTTTCACCTCGCTGAATGGAACGGTCATAAACCGTACTCGGCATTGGTGAAGGAACATCCACTGAAAGGGAAGTCATTAAAACGTGATAGAAATAAATCACATCTGGTTTGGAATAGAATAAAATCTTACCAATCATTTTCTTGTTCTTTATCAGTATCCTCTGTTTGAGCTGGGTTGGTGAAGGCAGTCGAGGCGAGTCAGAAAAATCCGATTCGAAAAGGAAGTTAGTGACAAGTTTATCTCCAAGAATTGTCTGCAAGGGGTCACAAAAATCAATAAATGTTTATCAAAGCGGCTGAATTTGCATACAACATTAAAATAAATCTAACCTTGAACATTTGAGCCATTTTTGCTTGTTGCTGAACAGAACAGTGATTTTCGATAGAAAGAATCACTGGTAAGTCCGATGTCACAAATGCTGATTTCTTTATGACTTCGATTACCTATTTAACAGATATTTATTTTTTGTTGAAAAAGTGGCGAAAAATCCCACCTGTCGAAAACCAATCTTACTGACTAAAGTATGACCATGATAAATAAGGGGAAGACCATCATCTCCATCCCAGCAATCAAGTTCTACGCATCGACATCCAGCAAGTAACACCTAGCAAAAAGTATTTCAATTCAAGTTTTAAATTTTTGGCTATCCAAAAAGAAGTAAGCTAGTAAATCCAATGTTGAATATAGTGACTTTGCAGTGCCGACATTAGCCGACAATAGTTGTGCGTGAGCACTTTGCTGCGCACGTAGTGCCGAAAATTTGCGCGTGCAAGATGGCCACACTTTAACGTTTGGCGCCGAAAGACAATTTTTTCACGCGCAACTGTTGTCGGCGAAAGTCGGCAGTGCAAATACACTTTATTGCCTTCATATCAGCCTATAAATGCCAATTCGATTTTGTTTGAAGTAATTGTGCGAACGATAAAGAGCGATGGTGGAATATTTGACTTGACTTATTCAAAATAGTAAGTATTTAGAGTCTAAGACTTTTCAGACGCGCGAGGATGAACATTGAAATCAATGACATGCATTTCCATTCAACAACGCATTTTTGAAAATACTTGGGAGAAAATTTAGCAGAATCTCTCTTTTTCACATTTATCATCTTTCTCCGGACGGCAGTCTCACCTCTCTATACATCTCCGCACTGCTCGGCCCTTTCAGTTGATGACCGGTGAGGTAGGTATTATGACTTGAGTTAATGAAGTAGTAAGGGAGTGGAAGTTGCAGGTCTCGTTCATCCGGTTGAATTGTTTCCGGAACGAATGCGAAGTTGACAGGATCGCAAAGAAATCGGACGAAACCCTCGAAAGACATCTGATTCTTCTGCCGACACAGCGGATCTGGTTCATGCTCCTGCAACGATTTGATTGAAACAGAGAAAGGTAGTGAACTTAGCGCAATAAATCTCCAAAAAATTTAGATCCAACAGAAACCAAAATCTTCAAGCATATTACATAGTAGTTATCAATAATACAAAAATAAATAAGTTAATATTACTGGCCGAATAGGTCTGTTTTCCAAGATGACGAAATTTGCGACGCATGGAGTAAATTACCAAATCACCTGTATCAATTTTATTGCAAGATCTTCATCAATCATTTCCATCTGCTGAGTATTTACAAAATTTTTCAACATTGTTGGTGTCAATACTGATGATCTTGAAGTATCCATCAAACCTCCCATGCTGAAAAAAATCCAATCATTATAGTTAGAAATTACCGAAATATTAATATTACCTGGTAATACTTGCGATTGCTAGGGCATTATAGATCTTGTATTGCTTTTCATTCAGTTGATAGGAAGCCATAGTGGTGTTACGTGTGAGAAAATCTGAAAAAGGTTGTTAGTTACTCAATGTGTTCTTGGCTTAGGCTGCGTCTAAAGTAGCTCTTGCGCCGGCGCCGTTCCAGCGCCGTGCCGACCTCGTGCCGCAACTTCGATCGATCAAACGATACGGCGCTGGCGCGGCGACGGCGCACGGTCATCCGGACGCTGCCTTATTGCAAACGTTAACCAACCACTAGAAAGAAAGTCAGGATTGTTGGTGTAGGGAGCATTGACTAAACGTGATGGTACTCGTGAATTTAATCGTTCCTTATCCCGCTTTTGACAATGAGCCGATGTGGTCGTTAAAGAGAAGACGTCGTTAAAAACATCTCTGAAATTTTGTGTACAGATAGCTAGAAAAAAAAGTAATTTGTATTAGGACAACCTCAAATCTTTTCTCATTCGTGTGTTGAAAAGTCGGAACAACTCGACAAAATCCACTAGCTTCAGAGGTTTTTCCTGGAATTCCCTTCCAGATGGCCCGCTTAACGCAGATACCCGAATTGACATCTGAGCAGACTGTTTAGATATAATAGCAACTTCTACTCTTCCGAGGGCTTAATCATTCAAAACAAGACTTACCTGTCCACTACTACTAATAGAACCAGAATTGGGGGTTTCACCACCACGCGATCTCCATGACTTTGTAGATCGTCCACCAACCGAACGACCTTCAAATTTTGTATTTTTTAAATTTTCGAAATCTACCTATGAATTTACCTCCATAAGAACTGGACGTCGGTGTTCTACTTCTAGGAGTGTAGATACTCTCAACATCCCCACAATCGCTCATTGCTGTGTCCACTCGCGGCTTCAACAAATACCCGGGGGAATTCGGACCTGGAGGGCCCGATTGCGATGAGATTTGCGACCGTATTGATGGAGGCCGTACCTGCAGAAACAGAACATGAACCAAATACATCTTTAGCCGTAAATTAAGCGGCATACCAAGGGGGAGTGTGGCTGTGGACTTTGTGACCGGCTACCTTCTCGAGATGCACCTCTGAATTTTCTTTGCACTGCGTTTCTGAAGTTCTTCAAGCGATTTTTAGTTCCTCCAGGCTCGCTCGTCAAAGAAGCCTCTTTGGGACGTGATGAACTTGTACTGGCTTGAGTCAGTCCTACGAAAAATATGTAACTGTAGATTTACTGTAAGACTCAAAATACCCTAGTGCAACTTACCAAATCCTTTCCACCTTTCGATTCTCCCGCCAAAAGCTTGAAGAGCATCATATGGCCGTGGTCCTACTAAACCTTGCCCATTTGGCTCAGGTGAGCTTTCCTTATAAAGTTGGACGTAGAGATTTTTGAGCCAAATCATCCTTCTATCTGGGTATTTTTGTTGCTTTTGTAAGCTTCGCACAACCTAAAACACTCTTATATAAAGAAACATTCAAGTATTGTAGGGGAGGAAGGGAGAAAGGGAGAGAAAAAGAAAAAAGAGGAAGATTGGTGTTACTAATGTTCCTGAATTTTTCAAGAAAGAGAAGAATTCTATCATCAGTCGTGTAAATTTTTGTGACACAGGAAGACATTTTTGTGAATTTTTTTCAACGTCCTAGAAAAGAAGAATGAAGTAAAAATTTTCTTTTTACAGAAAAAAATGCTCAGAGCAAAATTTATAGGTAAGCAAACGTCCAGTAAATGCCTAGCAGATTCATGTTCTCCAATGGCAAGCATCCTGTTGTAGCAAAAAGGATGAATCATTGCTTGGATATTTCTAGGATATGAGTTGTTTTTACACTAAGGAATTCTCAGATGATGTCATGATTGGTTGCATGGTTCATACGAGAGTAGCAATAATAGAAAGTACATGCAGTTAATGGAATATAGAGAATGAATAATAGACGATGAGAAAACTAAGATCTAGTTGCTTATGCTCTTCTAGCTGTATAGTTTTACAAGTTCGAACAAATTTTACGCACTAGGAATTTTCAGGATATGATAGGAACAAAAATCAAACCTCTTGTAGCCCTGTGGTCCAAAATTGTGCCGTTTGTTGGGGTGCAAGGAAATAAAGCACTTCACTGTCGGAAAGCAGCTGACCAAAACTAATCTTCCAACAGTAAACTGGTACGGACATCTCTTCCATGGAATGCCTTCGATAGATGGTCTGGAAGAATTATTTTTTCAACAAAGTCAAATCTTTTGCACGAATTGTAAGTGAAATTAGAGAAGCTGAAGGCGAAAACTAGACATGCGTGGAGCTAGATTTACATGTGAATATGTTGCAGAACATTCTCGGATTTTAGCAGAATTCGCTGTACTACCGAACTCAAAGTAGTGTAGATCAAAAGGTTTTGCACAAAAAAATATGGTAAAGGCCATATTTATATAACAAACTATCTAGTTTCAGTGATGTCTCTCACCTCAATATCCAAATCGTAATCGTCCACCGGTTCGACCTCTTTCACTGACACTAATTTTAGCTCGCCTTCTTCAAGTCTCGTAGAAAAGGGTCCTAAATGGAAACTTCTACTTCCGACAAAACTTTGGTGAAAGATACCTTGCATTCTGTTCGAATACATGGGTGCATTGGTGATTTTTGCGGGTTCAAGAGCACCAGTAGCCATGGGTACTACTACTTGTTTGGACAGAGCAAATTCCTAGAATCGACATTTTCAGCTGTAAAATTTATGCAAAGTTGAACAGCGTTTAAGCGCTCTTATGTTGCTACTGATATTGAAATCTTAGCAAAGTCTCTGCTCAAAAGATAGCTCAAATAATTGAATGGTGGCCGCGAAACTCAGCTTCTAAGTTCCGTCCAGACCGTACTCTCTACCGCACTCGGGATGCCGATTGGTCCGCTCCCAGTTCGATTGGTCGAGACTTTAGAATGACTTTCTCGACCGACAAATAAATGATATGAGCTGCCGCTTGAGCAGTGTCTTGGTAAGGCCTTCAAATCAGCTTCCAAACAGGAAATCCAGGTCCATAGGCCTGGATACTGTAGTTAAGTTAGAGAATAACCTTCTCCTTTGAGTCTTTCGTAGCCCAGTAGGTGATTCTATGCCACGAGATAGTACCGCAACTTGCATCCAATCGCAAAACACATAGCACACTTCGACCGGAATCATTATCATAATGAATGACCTTAACAACATTTTTTCAAAGTAATTCAGAAGTGACCTATAAAAAGTTAGCCTACAGTAGTGCCATGTTGTAACTTCTGAATGACATCCAAATCAAAATTTGCTGGATCAAGCGGGATGAAGTGAACACCATTGCTGGTGGAATTCACAGATTGAACGGGATCATAGCCTGAAAGATCCAAATTTTTCCACCGAAAGGGAGAGAAAAGGATAGAAAAGTACCTTTTTCCTCTTTTGAAGCAGGAGTGAATTCATTTGCATTTTGTCTTTCTTCATGCATTTTTACCATATTCCTATTATGCCGATGAAACAACTCCAGGTTGTCCAACACTGCAGAGTTCTTTATTTTTTTGTATAAACAATAAGTAAATTCTCCAGCTGTATTCATTCCATTATCACCTAACTGACAGTTTATACTGCGTATATAAACACAAATCTTATTTTATCCGAAACAAATAAAAATTCTCCCAAATTTTTCTAAATGAAGAAAGTCTCCTGATCTCAATTTTTTCTAATTATCAAATCGAGAGTGTTGATTTTTCCAATCCGAAAAAACTCCCCCTATTCATATTCGTTTATTATGAAACGGAGAGGGTTGAGAAAAAAAGCAAATGACTTTTTATGCTACCGTCAGTCCTTGACAAGTCAATGATAAAACATTTATCATGGCTTTTTTGATTTTTATCAAATTTTTGCAGTTTCGTCTAAAATCGCACTAAGCAGAAGAAAACTGTTTTAGACCATAAGCGAAAGAAATTTCAAAAAACGAGAAGAACATTTACCTATAGCGACCAAGTTAATCTTGTCCGCATTGAGCAATCCTCCAACCCCTATTCTTGACGAAAAATGATCTTCTCCATTGGCATCGTTCATAAACTGAAACTTACATCAATCCTTATGATTTGACAAAAAAAATTGAGCAGTACCTCAAGTTTATCCTTATCTCCATCGTGGCCAATAACGACAATGTTTGGTAGATCATTTACAATAGCGTACAAATCTCTGCAATCTTTTTTTATAGAAGACTTGTAAACTAAATCATGACTTCTCACTTTTATCAATTTCAATTTTTTGTACCAATAAATTTTTTCAATTATTCAAATTTACTCTAGTGTTCACGAGATAAATAGCAAAAATGTACAATTCAAAGTGGTTTCGCTTGCAATAAGTAATTTATTTGTAAATCTGTAAATTTTGATATTTCGGACTTGTAAATTTGTAAGACTGAATCTAGTTTGTAAAGAATTTCTATCTCTCCCTATAAAAAGAAGAAGGTTTGATCCAATCATTCGAGAAGGACTTGTTGAATCCAACTAAAAGTATCAATTTTCTCAAGCTTTTTCCCAAATGCATTGATAGCAAATTTATTAACAAATCAGAAATTGTAGAGAAAAATTATTTACCTTAAAAATATGCCAAAAAACGGTATTAGCCGTGATTGAGACATCCGTAGAGCTCGTTGAATTGCATCTACATAGGCCTGTGAGGGTAATGCTTGATTTGAGGGAAGTAGAATCTCGCACAGCTGAAAATACTCGTCAAAAATGTAAAAATAAATTCTCACAGAATAGTGCAACCTGCTCATATTGCTGCTTTTCTTCTTGCGAAAGCGACAACCAAAATGGTCTTAGCTTTTCGCTTTTCAGTCCCATGAGAATTTCGACGGCTGCATTGAAGTTTGCTGCAAATATTCTGGAATTGAACGAGCAAAGCAAAGCAATAGCAAAAGTATTTTGCCGAACCGATGTTCCAGCACGTCTCAACAATTCGTAATATGGCTACTAAGGTGATTTTACGATCATCATGAGTGGGTTGACTGACGATTACATGGGTTATCCATGAAGAAACCTGAAAAAGTGGAATTCTTGCACTCTCAATTTAAATTTCGCGCCTTTTGATCCAAGAATTACCTCACTCAACCTCTTCACCAGATTCCGTACAGGACTAGGATTGTCGGCGATAGGGACTGAGGTCAGGTCGCAACTAACATATCTCACATAATCCATTGGCTGGATGGAGTGAAACAGCTCATATTCCGTGGATGACAGCTAAACGATCAAAGTTCTTAGCTTTTCCATTTTTTTCGAAGAAGAAACTCATTTTTCACATCATTCTGCTATTGCGCACACATAGTTTGCCGATGAATAATCGTTTTCCAAAGTTAACATATGTATGTTCCGCAATGCAAGAAGGACATCGGATGAATATGCATAAACAAGTTTGCAATGACAATAAAATTATTTTAAGCTCAGGAAACGAAAATTGAAAAATCAAGATTCACGCTAAATCATATGACTGAAAATTATTTTCAGGGCTATATTAGAAATTCGCAATTAAGAGAGGAATTTTGACTTCCAGGATATTCTTCTAATATTCGACGGTTTAATTCTCACCAAAGAGCTCTATATGGATCTCAAAGCGTTGCTGGAAGGGGAGAAATTGTCAAATTAGGACAGAATAAAATCATTGAATTTTGAATTTCTTTTCTATTGATAACGAAACTGCGAAACTGCAACTGTTGTTATATTATTCAAAATAGTAACTTCGCCCACTTTTGGTTTTTCAAAATTTGTATGAAGTCATTTTTTGTAAAAAAAAGAAAACATTTGAAATTATTGCTTTAGTAGAACTCTAGAATTGAAAGAATCTTTTTTATGCTTAAATTTGAACGGAAACTGTTTGGTTAGTAAGAAAATATTTACAGAAATAGATGTAATATTTCGGATGAAGATAATAATTTGAGAAGGTGCAGCATATGAGAATCTAATTTTTTTTCAATATAAAGTTCGACAGCATCAAATTAGTAGGCAACAACCGAGGAAGTTCGTCAGCTGGGTATAAACTGTAACAATTTCTGGAAATTACAAGTCAATTTATTTTTGCTTCCATATAAAGAGCTCAGCTTGTAGTGTATTTTTGGATAAGCAGGACCTTTTTCCTTTCCAATAGTTCAGCATGATCGCACACGTTTTACCAAAAAAAGGCAATAAATGATGCCAACTTGTCCCCTCTTAGAAAGATATCAGAATGGTTAGAAGCAGTACCATAACGGTACCAACCCTACCTGAAAAGCGACTTCTTCCGGAAAGTGTAGTATGTACTGTAGCCGTTCCAACTCGAGTCGGAACAGTGTAATTGGTTCCTCATTGAGCACAAACCCTGCTGCTGCGGACGTGGTGGAAGTCGATGAGCCGCTACGGGATGTCACTGAAATGCCCCGTGTGAATACATTCTTCCAGAAAATCTCAGAGCCAAGCCCCGAAAACTTCGTCTTCGATCGAAGAGCTAACCGAATCAGTTGGATGCGTTTCATTTCATTAACGAATTGAATGCCTTCGCTTTTTTTGTGTTGCATCTCAGTGTAAATACGAAAACTTGCAGACGTCGTGGCGCATCAGGACGTCATAAAACATGTCTTCTAGTTTGATCGATTACGGAAGTGATACGGCACAAGCCACGCCTCGATAATTTTTTATAAAGTTAATTGGAGGCAGTTTTGAAATCTCCTCTGGTTATCAACAATGTATTAGGTAGGTTCATAAGTTCTGCACCAAAAATTGCTTAAATATCGTTTGAAAAAGATTAAAAAACGTTTTCATCTGAGTTATATACTTAACACGACATATATCATTCATTCTATGACTAGGAGACGCGAGACCGCCTTGTACACATTGTTTAAACAAGCCTAATCGTGTACTTAGCAGGTTTATACTTGTTATTTATCTCGTCCAGGTTTATTCAAGCTTCGAAACAGGGAAGAACAAATTCAGACTTGTTAAGACAAGTCCGCAGTGCGGTCTCGCGTCTCTTAGTCGTGGAATAGATGATAACAAATGTTCCATTTTACTAAACCTACTGAAGATTTCATGAGCAAACACTATTTCAAATGCCACTTTAGAAAACTCGAAAATCACAGGAAATCGTAGATTCATCCTCTGATCGCACCAATTTCCTTAGTAAGAAAGAGAACGTCATAACATAATTGAATTAAGATTAAACTCTGTTGTGCCTTTGAGCATTTTTAATGGCCATTTAAGGTTTGAAAAAAAAACACAATTTGGCGGTTTCTATTTATCTTCTACTTGTTGTACTCCCATTTACCATCTTGAAATAAATCTTCATTGGACTTTGTTGTACTCCCATTTACCATCTTGAAATAAATCTTCATTGGACTAACACTTTTAAAGGATCTTCGACAAAATTCGTGTACCATATGTAGCTCATAATTAGTTTTTTAGGTTACGGTAATTACTCCTGGACAAGGGAGAAGCGCAAACACCATTATAATGAAGGGGGAAGAGGCAAAATACACTAGCTCCAACATTCATATAGATTTTCTTTTTAGTGCATATTTTTGTAGCATATATTACCGTAATTTTCTATCGCGGCAGAAAGAAACGCAAATTTTGTATCACCACCTTCAGTGAATCCTCTAAGCAAGCTCCTGGAGTACTTTTGGAGAATTTTACTTAGAAGAGGAAAAGATTAAAAAGTGCTTTGCATGTCGGCCCGGATTGTCATAATCGATGACCAGGTAGCAAATTCTCAAAAGTCTGAAAGCTCCCTCCCCACCAAACCCCAAATGTTAGACAAGACTGGAAGTTTGACTTTTAAAGCGTTTTGGCATAGAAGATGCAATAAGAGATAAATGTGAAAGAACTTTATTGAAATGTCAGAGAGAAAGATAAAGTAATGAAAAAAGAGTTGGTTGATATGGATATAATATCATCATCTATCATGATAGGTACCATTAGCGTTCAATTAGAGCAATTACGGCTTTCAAACTTATCAAAATGATACACTTTTTGCTTTGAATCATTTTGTCCAGAATCTAATTACTGAAGAGCAATATTACCAGAAGAAGCTATCATATCGTTCACAAACTATGTGTAAAACTTAGAATTTTGGAAATTTTCCTGCGATCTTAGTATAGCAGCAACGAGATGAAAAAATTTGAAATGATAGGGAACTATAAGGTTTTTGTTATAATGCATGATGAGAGCGAGATTTGAATGTCGTACATTGGAATTTGCTTAATCATAGTGTCGCTGCATTTTTTTTTGCAGAATGTTGGAAACAATAGTCGAAATTCCTTTTCCATGTGATTCTTGCATGTTTGAAACGAGCGTTGAAGGTTTTGCAAAATTAAAAAATTACAGAAAACTTGAATTTCATAATTCACGCAACTTGTGGTTCAATTACCCACGTCTGAGAGTGAATTATAAGACCATACTCAGCGTTTCTAAGTAGTTTCACTACACCTACCTGAAGGTTATTTGATTTAGACTCACTTTTTCTTTTTGTTTTTCTTCTTTTCATGTTTACAATCTTCCTTCATTACTGATGTGTAAAACTTAGAAATACTGGTGAGTTCCCGAAAGATTGTAGTCCTACCTAATTTTCCGTACAGTGATAGGAAAAGATGAATTTACGTAAACGTTTTCACTTCCTCTAAACTGGTTACAAAAATTTTATAAACCGGAAAAATAGATTCATAAGCATAATGTAAGCAGTCATGATTACTCTTATGCGTCCCAGAATAATTGTTCTCCAAAACTAGTCATCTCATGAACTGCAGAAGCAAGTTTAAGCCTTGGTTCGGTTCCACTAAGAAAGTGCGTCTTTGCCGAAAAAGTACTTTGAAAGTGCCAACAAACACGCTGACGTAATAGAATCTAGTTAAGTGAATAGTTCAAGTAAAGTCCCTTGAACATGAACTATCAAATAATCTAAAGTCAGCTAGAACTATCAACTGATCATACGCCTTTTCACTATATAGAGATTACTGTGATCGAAAATGTCCGAGACTTTAGAAAGAATTGAGAGAAATGTGCTCTAATGCTTTATTTTAAGTTTCAAGAAAGGGGATTCTATTGAGAACTTATGATTGGAGCGGGACAAAAAAAGTATAGTGGAAAAGCTGCAGAGAATAAAGCAACTGCGACCATTGCTTCTTACGTGAATTATAAAATAGGCGGGAAGAAATACTGGGAAACTATGATAAAATTGCGAAATCCTTCATTAAGTGTTTGAAAAAAAAAACATCACAACTGTTCTAAGTAAGTAAAGATATATTCTTTCACCCTATCTTTTTTACTACTACTGTAATCATACTGTAGCGTATTGTAGCAGGGAAAGCATGGGCAAGGAGGTACAGTTGTAAATTCCAAGTTCATCTAAGCTTGAGCGATTATATAAATCGTACATGATGGATCTGGTCTAGATTCCTTCCATCCTTTTTGTAGCCAGTATATCTAGCCATACTCCTACTGTAAGTCTACTGTAGAAGGATTGCTAGGAAGGAACAGTAATGAATTCAACAGCTCATTGGAACTAGGGCTAGGAAGTGCTAAAAACTGTAGGGGCTCGTCAAGATGCACAGCAATTTTTGAAATTTGAAACACAGAGTGACAGTTTTGATTTTATGATTACAGAGGTTACTTGGACAACTGCCATAGGTGAAGTGACTTTCTCTTTATATGGCAGCGTACGATAATGGTGCAAAAGGGGTTGTGATAGGCATAACTGATGAAAGTTTTGAGTCCAAAATGTTTCTTCGAAGAGGGAAGATCCATTTGAATGTTGTTAGAAGCACTTTGAAGTACTTTACTGCAAATACTATTGTTTAGAGAAAAACACAATATTCCGTAAAAGACTCTTGGTTAGCGAGAATGTCTTCACTAGCTGAAGAGTTGAGAGCTTATGTAGACAGTGCTGAGCCAGTTGTTTTGTCGGAATACTGTGCGCATGAAACAGATGTTGTGTTTTTTCGCGACGTCATCGCGTCACCATAACATTTCCTCTCGATTCTCGAGCTCGAATCTCGCAAAAAACCTGCTAGAATTCGAAAATTCATTCTCCACTATTTGCACATGTCATTCAAGCAGTTTGCCAGTTGTAAACGGGGGCGCGCCGAAATGTGTTCGGATTGGCGCGCGCATATGGGGTGACATCAAACTGCCAGCACCCGGAGCAACATTCGTTAGCGAGCCATTCTTAGAGCGGTCGTCGTCGCCGCGCGTTGTTTATTCGCGAACGATATTGCGCGTGGTTGGCGGCTCTCCCGCAGGAGCATTTGCTGGAGACGGAAAAGCATCGATTTCAACTCTCAAACATTGTAGAGGCGCTGTCGCTATAATGGCAAACCAAATCTCATTTGGCATCGCCACCGCCGCCACCGCTTCTGCCAATCGTCCGCGCACGAGCGCTTGCGCGACGGAATTACCGTGAAGTTCACCTTGACGACGAAAATCTCGCTTAAAATCGTTGCAAGCGCTTCAAAGCCATGGAACATCGAGATTATAGCCGATAAATTAGCCATCGGTCGTAAATTGCGCGATTTGGCAGTATGCTAATGGTTCACATTTCGTTATAAGCATTTAGGTAAGCAAGAACTCGACGCGCCTGCTCCGCCGCAGCATAAAAATTATTCTTTGAATTTCGCGCGCCGTGTATGGCATACTGCCAAGTCGCGCAGGAAACGGTGCGCGCCCATAATCTTATCCGCTTCGTAAATGATAGCCATTAACCTTTGTCTCGTTTTGAAATAGTTGTTACTTTACTTATCAAAAAGCGCTTGAAATTCTTAGTTGACATTCTACTCATCAAAGAGTGCTTCGAAAATTCTTTGAGCTGAGGTTCTCATTAGTGCAAATGTACCCTAGTTCATGATAGAAAGCTGATATGCGATGTCAGTTACCTGATATTCAGGATGAGATACGATAATAACAATTGTCTTTACACTATCGGACTTTCAAAGGACAGTATAGCATGCTACAAATCAATACCGATTAAGAATTTTTGAAAGAAATTGACAGCTTGTTGACAGACACTACGAAGAAAGAAAAACTTTTGATAACGCGGAAGATTGAAATCCAAGAAGAACATAGAAAATCAAAAATTCAAGGTAACTCTGATATTCATGTTAGAGAATTAGATTTGGATGTCTGCCAAACGAAAATATTGAAACGGACACGGCCTTGCAAACTAATAAAATTTCGCTTTTTTTTCAGAATTTATTATCGTAGAAACTAAGTTGTTAATTACTAAATTAATTGCTGGAATGTCAATGACTATGAACAGGTTCATGAGGTGCAGAGATTGAGTATACGGTAGTAGATCAAAAAAAGCGATGTTATTAATCAATTTGATTTTTTAATCAATTAATTTATCAAAATTCGTAGAGCGCAGAGATCAGATGAGTATCGCGGTAGATCAGAAAACCCAAACTCGTCAAATTGATTTGCTTTTTTCTGGTGTAAAAGCGAAATGACGAAAAAGGGGCATATAATAATTTAACAAACCTAAATTGCAGACATAAACCAGTAAACTGTCCGGATCGGGTGGCGGTTCATGGTCGGCATCACTGTCGAAGGATTTGCTGAGAACATTCAGAAGACGTGAGACGACCGATGCCATGGCTCACTCACACATCGCAACACAATGTGCAAGTTGCTCAACCGATAGTAGGCAATTGTGCTCTAATGACAATCTTCTTCTCAGGAATATTTGGGGGTGTCGTGGCTGTGAGGGGGCAAGTAGTGCTGTAGACTACATTGGTTTCATTCGCAGAGTGCGACGCCTTAGTTTCGTGGGAAGATGTAGGGGCGGGGTTGGATTACTTCCCCTGGGGTACTCGGTCATATTTCGCGCTGATTGGAGGAAGACCAACTTTTTCGCCCATTAGCATGCACGGGGCGTGAATCTCGCACAGACTGCTCCATCACACAATTTCCCAATGTTTTCTCGTGCCACCCTTTAGAGATTAGCATGTTTATGCGCGAATTGGCAAACATGTTGGGGTGTCAAAAACTCTGAGCGTCGGAACTTCCGATCTTCGAGGCGACTCGTTAGAAAAACTAAATTCGATCTTTTCCGAGCTATTTCGCGCGCATATTTCAGTTCATTTGCGGGCCAATTTGGTGGAGCCGGTAGTCAGAACATATAATTTGTGAAAATATTGTTTGGCTGCACGCATTCTGAGTAAATTACATATTACTGCTTGATTGCAAATTTCGTTTATTGAAAGGGAAAGAGCAGCCAAAGGGATCGGCCGTAAGGTCGCCGGTCGTTGTAGGACCTCATGGTACTCCCTGTGTATTATGTGCTCTCTGCAGCACCTATGGCCTATCTCAAAGCATAGGTAGTTTTGAACTCTTTTTCAACTAGGTATGTGATCTACCGATGCTGGCACCCAAAAACTCAAATAGTATCGGAAAATTTGCTCGAGTTCTCATTGGACCTCCATTACAAGCGTGAAGCGGGAATTTATTCTTGCTTCTCGCCCAAAAAGATAATATCTGTTTAACTTTCGGCGCAAGAATGATAGCATCGGGCCTGTGTTTTGACATTCGCACTCTTTAGAAGCAACTGCCACACTAGCTTCGAGTAAAATGAATGAATTGTTGTTTGACGTTTTGAAGAGCTCATGTGGTCTCAGAAGACTTATGAATATGAAGAGATGAGTTGAGTTCCTTGCACTTACTAAGCTCCAAAATACGATTTTAGAAAAGAGAAAAATGACTTCGCCAGACGACTGGAAGTGATTTCGACGAACTCTACTAACAGCCTCATTTGTCAAACGGACAGCCGATATGAATGCTCAGTCGTTGAGTGTCAACAAGCGTAAGAAAAATATGCGAAAGGTCGTGCTGACCGCCAGAAGAATTTCTAAAAAATCAAAAATGAGTAAGTACACGGAGAGCAGAAAGAATTCGTAAATTCGTCTAGGGCTAATAAATGACGTAATCCTTACAAAGCTTGGAAATTGAAGAATTTATGAGTACAAACACCCACAACCTCTGTAGCGCCCCATTTCGGGACCAGAACATGAATCATTCTGTACTCGAAAGGATTAGATGAGTAGAAGTAAATAAAAAACAGGTGTGTAGGCATATACCAGTTTCTGGAATATGAAATTAGTGGATATCACAAATGGTGAGCTAAACTTAGCTTTGTTTATTCCTACTACAAATTCAAAAACCTAAACAAAAAGAAAAGGAATGAGGCCCAAAAAAGACTGATTCTAGTAGGGAGAAGATAAACTACAAGAAGATGCCTAGGAATGAGATTTTTGAGCAAGTCGAGCTTGTGTTTTCTTACTAACCACTGTTAGGATTCTTTTGACTTTGATTTTACTAATTTTTTATCGGTCGTGCTATTCTTGCTTTTCCATTCTCGATTCTATGTTTAAGCGCACCTAGAGTGCATCCAATAAATAAATAAATAAATAAATAAATAAATAAATAAGCGGCTTACAGATATGCCATTGTTATTGGTGTAGGAAAAACTAGGTTTGATTCCAATTAATTATGTTTGTTATAGTTTGAAGCACAAGCAAGCTACTCCTTGTGCTTGTGTTTGTACCAATTGTCCTATCATCTTCGGAAACATTTCTACTCAACTGTTCGCTACATACTAGTACATTGCTAAAATGATATGGATGAAACGGGAACTTTGTAAAATATAGCAAAATTTAGCCTTGCACACCATAATATTAGATTGTCCCGAAAGTTTAGCTGCTTTTTTTTCGAATCACAGAACCCTAGTATATCCAAGAGCTGAATACGTTTGATTTTGTATTTGATGCAGCTTTTTCTTCTTTTTTTGAAGGTTTTATTTTCGGAAATTAACCTTCTGAGCGCTTCTTGATAACTACCAAAATTTTTCACCCATCTTTTCCTTGTATCTGCTCGGACTTCGACTAATTTCCAAAAATTTTAGTCCAATTCTCAGAAGGAAAGTAAATAGCAATTAGAGCAGATCTCGCACTATATAGCAGTGTAATTTTCGATTCCTGTGATCTGCTGTTTGGAGGTTCAAAAAAAATTTTTTTGGCGATTTAGGTCTCTAGTGAAGTCACGAAACACACAACTGCAGCAAAAACATGAAAGCTTTCGAGGTTTTTACGAGATGAAGCTGAATTGTTACTAAACATCTTTAGAGCAAAATAATAAAATTTGAATTGCCGTAAATGGTCAGCTTTTCGGAACTTTCGACTTCTGTGCGTGCCCGAAAGCTGAGCATTTCCCACAAATAAGCAGTTATCACATTCTTCAAAAATTTGATCTATGTATTTCAGAATAAGTATAATGTAGTCAAAAGTTTGCTCTACAGATAGCTGCCAAGGCTTTTCCAAAATGTCAAAAAAAAGCAGTTTGGAGAATCAGGAAAATTTGGCGTCACTGGTGAACTGCCAAAAAGCTGTGAGTATAACATCGCACATCGCGTAGATTGCATGAATCAGTGGGAGAATATAGCTATCAAAAAATATGAATTACTATACCTAAATCGTTCGTCGATCAGTCGTAGTCAGATTAGTGTTGTGCGAATTTTAGTGATCGAACAAAGAAAAGCAACAAGATTTTCGGGACAACCTAGTATGAATTCATGAATTGTTTCTTTGTTTCAAAATTTTCAAGAAAAACTCTATGCTACCAAAGCTATAAAAAACAAACCAGCAAATTCGTAACATTGTCCATCCTTTATCGTTCGGATCGGTTACGCACCACTATTACGATATGGATGAAACGGGAAATTCGCGGAATGAGCGATTTCTTTTTTGGGCGCACCAAATTACTTTTTATCAATTGTTTTCATTGCTCAATTTACTTTGTCGACTTCTCTTCATCCATTCTTATCACAAAGCAGCAAAGCGATAAAACTGAGCTGGAGAGAAATATCAAGCTATGTTACGGGTAAAAATGAAATCAGCAACTTACTCAAAGCTTTTCATTTGAATAATTTTCGCCAATTTTCCAGGTTTATAATGTTTCTAATTAGCATGATAAAACAATAGCTTAGAAAATAAGCGTAAAAGATTGAAATATACTTCTTCCTCAACGCGGATGTCCAATTAAATTTGGAATAGAAATTCAATGTATTGGGTTAAACATAATCGAGAGGTTACGTTCAAGCAAAAACCATAATCAAACTCGTAAGAAAAGCAACAAAAATGAATTAATATGAAATGTGTTTCAATATTTGAGAAGTACAGACAAATACGTGAGCTCTAACTTCAAAATGATTCCACGTAGAATGAGACACATGCTCGCACATTTTGACATTTGTCAAAGGCTATTCAAAAATACACTGAAGATGATGGATTGATCGCTGAAACTATGGCACGGCTAAAATCACTTACGGGTTAAATCTATAGTAATCAACGTACTAATAAAATTTTCATAACATGAAAAATGCTGTTTGGATGGCGAATAAAAAAGCTTCACAAAAGATTGCATTTCTTTTCAGAATCGAATCTCTGTTCTGCGAAAAGTTTTATGATTTGTTATTGATGATTCAGTTTATTGTTGAATATTCAGTCGTATTCTAGTCAAAATATATTTAACTAGTCAAGAAAACTCTATGAACAACCATGACAGTAGTAGAATCTGAAGAAATAAGAGGCTATTAAAGGAAATAACAATTTTTCATGTTATGCATTGAAACTTTATAGACCGCATACAATACCGCATCAAAAATGCTTGAAAGAAATAATGTAGGAAGATACAAACTGAATTCCTCAACAAACATCATTTTCAAAAAGACATACTGCTCTATTTTTTATTCTATGAAATTTATGTTTTCCTCAATTTATACGTACTTGAAATTCAGTTTGAAAAAAGCATAATGATTAACAAAACCAATTTTTGAACTAAAATCAAATTTTGGTGGTCCTGAATTCTTGCTTCCTAATTTCAAATCTTCACCTTAATTTTTTTATCAAGTTGCATCTCCATAATGTGCAGATCATAATTTTTGTGCAGTAATCAAAAAGAACGACTTACACTTTTGAGATGTAACAATTAAAACGGTTCTTTGGTCCTGAACAGAAATCACAAAGTTGCGAAAATTTTGATGCATGACTTATGCTTCAAATTAATAGAAATCCAAAGATTTTATTTTTTTCTTTCCCATAAAAAGAATTGCTATTGATTACTATTATGACTATTATTAGAATTAGAATTTTTCAACGTTCGGCGTGCAGTGCTCAAAATTTTTTGTCTACAAAACAATGAATAGAAAATAGGGAAAAGTTCACTCTAAAACGATTTTAGCTAAATTTTTATTCCAAAAAATCTGAAAAATAGTCCAATCGAACAGAATGTGCTTAATCGAAGTGAAAATAACAGAAATCAACTCACAGATGGTGGCATTTGTGGCCGAGCGATGCATTGACTGGTTGAGACTCTTCTGTATAGACGTACTCGCCGAGTTCTGCATAATCTCCCAAAGAGTGATCGAGATCGATTTCAGGGCATTATACGATGGCGCTAAAATACACACTAATACGTTACGAGTCGGTATTTTTACACACACCCCCACACGGGACACCCCGAACATGGCGGTTGTTTGGAATTTTGACAAGTACACCGGACGGGTTCTGATTTTAAAATAGTCAAACAAAGATCAGAACGTAA